AAATGTCACACACCAACATGATAATGACAGAAATGGACTCCTACAGTACTAAGACCACAGGCCAGTCATTTTGAACAATGAACATTGTGTGTGCAATGTGTTTTTTTTGGGCAGTGCTAAAGGGGCTATACACAACACAAAATTCAATATGAGACGCGGGTTGGCCAGGCCTGGCTTAATGTGACCTTTCTTAACATTTTTATTTTAAAAAATTCAACAACAAATAACAACAAAAACTTCTTAGTACATGGATATATTTTACAGTAAAGCAGTCGAAGAGAACACAGATGGCTTTTTTTATTGTTGTTGAATGTAGCCTAAAATGCTAACTTACCCCTACAAACCTTTCAAAAGAAATGTATTTTTAAACTATTAACTGTACCTTGTAGAAGAGGTCGGGGCAGAGGCGGGCATTGCAGCGGAGCCACTTGTTGGTGCCGTCCTCGCAGCGTTCGATGATGTATCCAGTAATCATGCTGCCTCCGTTCCTTAGAGGAGTCTCCCAGGTGAGCTGCACTGAGTTCTTGTTCTGGTCCTCCCAGACCAGGTTCAGAGGGGGGCTGGGAGGCTCTATAGGGCACAAAAAACACAAATATTACTGGAGGAGGCAGAGACTGAGAAAGTTAGGTTGAAGTTTTTGATCTGAGGCTTGCTTGAGTGTAAAGAAAATTCTTAGAATTAAATATAACGTCTTTTTAAAAAGTTATCTCCGTTCTCTGACAAAAAAATTAACTAAAGTCACAGAATTAATAATTTCATTTCAGCTGGAAGAGCCTTTGGGGTAAATTTCCGTAAAAATTACTATAACTATAAAATGTGATGAATCTTACCGATGGGATCCATGATCTTGACGGGCTGTGAGGCAGCGCTGGGCTTGCCGACGCCAGCTTTGTTCTCAGCTTTGACTCTGAAGATGTATTCTTTGTTCTCGATGACGTCGTTTATAATGGCGCTCAGCTCATCGGCTTTGGTCAGCTGGACAGGCGACCACTTCACAGACGTCCTGTCGCGCAGCTCAATGATGTAAGAGGTGATAGGAGAACCTCCGTCCGACACGGGAGGCTCCCAGGAGATGGTGCAGCCAAACTTGGTGACGTTTCCAACGATCACGTTCAGAGGAGCTTCGGGAACATCTGAAACCAAAAAGAAAACAATTTAGAAAACTGAGAGCAATGTTCTTGTTGAACAAGTATTATTAATGTCTTCCAGTCAACAAAGGAAGACAGAGGGGTGGTATTGCTGGAAATGACCTGGATTTTTGTAGTGTGTCTTTGTAGGGTAAATCAATAAAATTCTTACCAAACTTGTTCTTGGCCTGTACAGGTTTGTCGGTCTCTACGTAGGGTCCGCTGCCGACCCGGTTTCGGGCACAGACTCTGAACAGGTACATGGAGTCCTTCTGGAGGCCGGTCACTGTGAACTCAGGGCTCTCTGCGTGGTCTGTGGCCAGGGTCCAGGTCTTACGCTTCACATCGCGTCTCTCCACCACGTAGCCAATGACCTTGCTGCCGCCATCGCTCTCGGGCTCCTCCCATGCCAGGCTGACCTCGCCATCGGCAGTGTCGACCACCTGCAGGTTCTTCACGGGTCCCGGGACATCTAGGAAACAACATATGATCATCAGCATAACGTGGACATTACAAAGAAATTTAGTCTACTAGTCAGAAACAAAAACTGATTATACTAACTCTCTAACATTTATTAAAATGTTCAGCATTAAGTATGGTGGTTAACCTGATTTTGGTCTTTTTTTGGACCACAGTTTTATCTTTGTGTTGAGAGTCACACCAACTCACCGATGACTTGCAGGTTGATGAAGGCTTCTCCCTGTCCATGTTTGTTCTTAATCATGATCTTGTAGCGGCCTTCGTCAGACTTCATGGGGTCCTTCAGCCGGTACTCTGTGCGGTCGGCGGATGTGTAGATGTTGTCTTTGGGCAGACTCAGGTTGTTGTACAGCCAGTCGGCCTCAGCCTGTGGGTAGGCGCTGTAGGGGACGGCCATGGCGATGGGCTTCCTGGCATCTGTGACATAGCTCTGGTCCGTGGTCTTAATCTTAGGCACAGCTGGAGGAGGAGAGAGCAGCTTAGTTTGAGTATTTTACTACCATGTAAAGTAACATAATCACTCTTAGTAAAACGTTTTTGCTACATTGATCTTTATTTCCTGAACTCTTACCTGCCAGCTCCAGCTTGGCCTTGGCGTCTTTGTCTTTGGCGATAATTCTGTATTCTCCCTGATCCCGAGGTCTGATCTCACAGACCTGAAGTCTGTGGACTTTACCCTCGCTCATCATCTGGTATTTGTCTCCCTGGACAACCGTCATATTGTTTCTCAACCATTTCACCTCCACTCTGTCCTTGTTCAGCTCCACCTCGAACACAACATCCGAGCCCGGAGGTTCGAACACGTCCTGTGGTGGTCTGACAATCTCCACTGGGGTCTCTGCAGGACAGAGGGGTAGACGTGGTAGAGAGGTCATCAACCAGAGTAGCAACAGAATAAGAACTCATTTATACTGAAATATATTCTGAAGAAGCTCACCTTCAACAAAGAGCCTGGCTCTGGATCTCTTATCGTCCACACCGCAGGCATATTCACACTCATCGTCGGGTCTGCACTCTTTGATACGCAGAGTGCACATCTTTCCATCTTTTGTAAATGTGTATCTGGGGAAATAAACAGTAAGTTATTTAATTTATTAAATTAAAATTGTAGTTATTTAAATCATTATTCACTATCTAACCAACAAAATAACATTAGTTTGGGGAATTATAAGAAACGTTTAAAAGATTTCACAGCTGGTACATCCACTCTTCTGTTCTGAGGGTTTGAATAAAGTTCTGGTTCTGGTCTGACGTACCTTGGTCCTTCTCTTATCTCGCGTCCGTTCCTGTACCACTTGACGTCGGCTTTCTCTTTGGTCAGCTTGCAGGTGAACTCTGCGTCCTCGAACTCGGTGATGGTCTGGTCCTTCAGCTGCACGGAGAAGTCAGTCGGGGCCTCACTGATGATCAGCTCTGCAGCTGACTTGTTCTCTCCGGCCACGGCGGTGTACTCTCCCTCGTCGGCCAGCGTGCAGTCTTTGATGGTGAGTGTGTGCTTGTCTTTGTCCACCCGGTAGACAACGCGTTTGTTGAAGGTGATCTCCTGGCCGCCCTTCATCCACTTCAGAGTGGCCTTGGGCCGGTTGACCTTGCAGGAGAAGCTCACGGTCGTCTTCTCCTGGGTGTCGATGTCCTCCAGAGGAACCACGATCCTCAGACTCTCCTCTGAACACAAAACATCATAACAGAAACGTTCAGCTCAAAGGAAACAAAAGAAGAAGACTGAAACAGGGTGAAGCTCTGACCCACTGACCTTTGACGGACAGCTTGCAGGAACTCTTAGCCTGCTCTCCTCTCTGATTGATCAGGTTGATGCTGAAGTCGGCTTCGTCGGCCTTCTGGGCATCTTTGATCCTCAGGGAGAAGACGTTGTCTCTCTGCACCATCACATACTTGCTGCTCTCAAACACCGTCTCCTCGTTCTTCAGCCACTTGGCCTTCGCTCCCTCTGTGTTCACCTCGCAGTTCAGGACCACTTCCTGTCCTTCTTTCACCTCTGTGTCCTTCAGTGGTGTGATGACCTTCAGTTTCTCTGCAGGAAGAATAAACGTCAGAGACAATGAACATTTCTGAGTCTGATTGTGACACTCTTTTTATCATTTTTTATTTTTGGTGATTAAATTGATGTTTCAGTTGGAGTGAACTGTTAAAAATAAATAAAATAAAAATGAGTTACTAGTAATTTGTGTAAGAATGTGAACTAAAATAAAATCAAATGTATTTTGTTTCCATATTTAAATCCCATTAGATGTTTTGTTTTGTACAGTATGTTCACTTATCTTATTAAACTTGATTAAAAAAAATGGAATTTAAAATAAAAAATTAAAGAAACATGAAAAATTATGTAAAACTTAAAAGAAACTAAAAAGTAAAAGAAACTGGGGGCGGGGCTTACCGAGCACGGTGAGGTCAGCGCTGGATCTGGTCGCTCCGATCATCACCACGTATCCGCCCTCGTCTTTGAGCTCACTGTTCTTGATGACCAGAGTCCGTCTCTTGCCATCGCTGACCATCTGGTATTTGTCTCCAGCTTCCAGCTCCTTGTCGTCTTTCAGCCATTTGACCTCGAAGGTATCCTTGGAGACCGAGCAGGTGAACTCGGCCTTCTCGCCCTCCACCACCTCCTGGCTGTGAGGCCGGGAGATAAACTCAGCAGCCAGTTCTGAAACACAGGAAGAACCGTGAGAGCTTTTGGGCTGCATTCTATGGCCGGACTGTAAGTTCAAACTATTAAAACTTAAACGTAAAAACAATAGACAGTTATTATGCCAAATTATGAAAGAATAAAGATACAAGTTTAAAAAGTATTAAAGATTCAACATTTTGACTTATTATTTCTTATACTTCTGACTTACAATGAGTATGTTTATTTTTGTCATTTCTATCATTACATATATTTTTTTCTTTTCCTAGTCAGAATGAGCTTCCATAGATTTGTCTTCCTGTCTCTTGTATAATAATCATTACTTTACAAACAAGGAGGACAGGAATTTGACAAAATCCGTTTTTTGTTTTGTTAACAAAACCTCAGGAATCTCAATTCAGTATGAAATTCTCAGTATGAAAGCCCAATACTGCCACAAAGACAAAGAGTTTTTAAGATCATTCACATCACAATATCCCAAATTATGAGAAAGGAAGATTAGATTTAGATTTTCTATGATGTAATTTTTAATTTAAAATGTCTTAAAGATTCAAAACTTTGACTTTTGACTTACATATTTTTCTTTTACTAGCAGGAATGTCTATAAATGTTTTTGTCCAATATTAAAAACACTAAAACCTTAGAAGCAATTTAACTTAAACAAATTAAAATATAATATATTAAAATGCAGTTAAAGAAGTTTAGAGGCACAATCAGAAATGTTTAGAAGCTGAATCTCCATCAGACATTGTTTTCCTTCTTTACCATTAATCTTGAGATTTCCAGAGGTTTTGATGCTTGGACTCAGCCTGCAGTGGTACTCTCCGGCGTCGGCAATCTTAAGGTCCTGGATGAGGAGGATCCTCCTCTTCCCGTCCACGATCTGCTCGTAGCGGCCGCCCTCTGGCAGCTCCTCGTCTCCTTTGAACCAGATAACGTCGGCACTTGGTTTGGACACCTCGCAGATCAGCTTCACGCTGTCCGTCTCTGTTCCCTCCACGTTGGCCAGGTTCTTGGTGAACCTCGCTTCCTCCTCTGCAGCGAGACAAACGAACACAGTGGTCAGATCTCAACTGAATGTCGGAGCTACAGTGACACATAGGCTGTATGTAGTTACTGAGATTCTTACCGACGACAGTGAGCATGCCGGAGGATTTGGAGGACTTGGCGTCACATTCGTATTCAGCCTCATCATCAAACACAGACTTGTGGATGATGAGGATGTGTTGGCGACCTTGAGCGATTATTTCGTACTTCTTCCCCTTTCTGATTTCACTTCCATCCTTGAACCAGCGGACCTGTGAGACGGAAAGCACGAGGAGATCTCAGGTGGGTCGAGAAATCATTTTAAACACTGACCTTTCATCATCGTTTATCTGGACAGACAAATAGACAGACAGACAGACACAGCGACTGGGCTTACTTTGACGTCCATTCTGGAGACTTCACATTCGAACCTGGCAGATTCCTTCTCTTTGACCTCGACATCATGGAGCGGCTTTGAGAACTCGATATGAGGAGCTGTGGACGCACAGATTGGAGGGGGGGGGGGTCAACAAGGGTTGACAGCGGGATTATTGCATCTAATTACTCTTTAACTGTATTTAGTCTCATAAAAGGTTCTTTAACAGTTTAGTGTTGTAACTTGGTATAAAAATGGTATCATAGGCTAAATCCAATCTCTTTTGACTACCTTCCAGACCCGTGGCAACTATAAAAGGCCCATTAACATTTTTAAGAGGTCTGTGTGACTGTTTACTGGTCCCTGGTTACCTTTAGGGTTCATTAACTCTAAAAAAGGGTCCTTTAATAACTCGTAATTTCCTGTTTCACAGCTGTACTCACGTTCAACGTTGAGGAAGCAGGAGGTTTTGAAGTCTTTAGCGTCACAAGTGTACGTCTTTGAGTCATCCAGAGTGCAGTCGTGGATGACCAGCGCTCTCTTGCGGCCGTCGATGATCATCTCGTACTTCTTGGTCTTGCGGATGTCCTGTCCGTCCCTGAACCATCGTACCTCTGCGTTCTCTCTGGAAACTTCACACTCGAGTGTGGCGGTGGCTTCCTCTTCCACCGTCTGGTCCTCAAGAGGCTTCGAGAACTCAACTGGAGGCTCTGAACGCCCACAAAAACACACAGTTAAGTTTCTACTCTGCTAAACTAGAGCAGCAGCATCTCCAATGATGACGCAAAACCTCCTTTTATATATTCAAGTAAAAATCTAGCCTGATCTGACTTCCAGGACTACAAACAGATGATGAGCAGAATCAGCAGTTGCCGTCTTACCTTTGACGATGAGGTTGCCCTCAGTCTGGAAGTCCTTGGAGGTGAGTTTGATTTGTCCAGCTTCACTCAGCTGTACGTCCCGCAGAGTCAGGCTGTGGACTTTACCCTCCGTCTTCAACACCACCTGTCAGGTTCAGCAGAGTCAGTTAGTAAAGGGGTTTAACATTCTTTGATAACCACCTCTCAGGTTTATAGAGTCAGCCAGATGTGGATTTTACCAACATAGTCTGTCAGGATTAACGAAGTCTGCATGTCAAGGGTTTTACCTTCCCCTGAACACTACCCATCAGGTTTAACAGGCTTTGATTTTAGCCTTTCTTAACGCTGCCTGACAGGTTCGACTGAGTAAGAATGGGGAAGAGTCCCTTCCCTGAATGTTTCCTGTTCAACAGTCAGTTTCTCTGCCAATGGGGTTCCTAAAAGGGTAACTGGACCCTATTTTACAATATTTTTGTGTCTAACCTCGAAATCCCACCGGGGAGGGCTTCTTCAGAGCATCTTCAGGGCGTCTTCAGAGCGTCTTCTTGCCTGACGTTGTTTACTTTTATTACTTGTATTTTGTCCTTGTACATAACTCTCCTGACTGACTTCCTGTCTGCTGCCACAATGTTGATGTAGCGTGAAATTCGTTCTGGAGTCTGCACGCTGTACTTTATTTCGAAAATTGACCAAATTCTCTATGTCGTTTCTGTGTCTGACTTCCTGCTGGTGCGATCTGCTGCTTGACGCCAGTGGTTCACTGCTTTCCTCAGCGATGTATTCCAACATGGGCACGATCAGCTCCGGCAACCACTGTGCCCATTGGAATTTGGGGGTGAGTGACTAATGGGGAGAGGCATTTTTTAACACTGAGTGAGGGCGTAACGTAATCCTTCTGCTCCACTAACAGCAGTTGTTGTTTGTTCCACTAACAGTAGTTGTTGTTTGTTCCACTAACAGTAGTTGTTGTTTGTTCCACTGACAGACCTCCAGGTTTTTAAATCAGTGTCGACACATTCATGGAAAGGATCCCTACAGAGATGGACCTTTATTAACCCACAAACAGTAATAATGCACTATCATCCTCCAACCAAACTCCAGAACAAAAACACATCATTTTACCTTCCAGATCATCATTAACTTTATTTAAACAAAATAAAACAAAATAAAATTCTGTCTCTGTTAGTATTTAAACAATCACAGCTCTGGTTCTGGTGGAAAATAAATCTTAATCATGATATTCTAACATCTAACTTGTCGTCCCATTTAACTTCTAACAACCTCTGCTTAACAAGTTTCAACCTCCACTGGCTGAGCATCGCCTGTCAGGATTCAGAATCAGTCAGATGTAAGGGTTTTACTGTCTGTCATGTCCTCAGGGTTAGTCAGATTAATGGGTTTTAGGACCCGTGCAGCGTGTCTGTGATGTTCAAAGATGCTAAAACTTCTGGGTTTAATTTCCCTGAACTAAACCTGTCAGGTGTAAGCGTAAGAGAATGAGTGTGTGTGTGTGTTTTATTGTATCAACCCTAACATCAGTCAGAATTCAGAGGAGTCTGTATTTTGTGGGATTATCTCTCTGAACTAACCTGCCAGGTCTACATCGGCTCACGACAGAGTGAGGGTTTTAGGTTCACACACAGGTCGGTCGCTGAGCCCTTACAGCTAAAACGAATGCAGGCAGCTGCTTTCCTCCCCGATTGTAAACTGCATGATCTTTGACAACCTGGTGGCTGATTGGTTACACACATCCCTGTGTGTGTGTGTGTGTGTGTGTGTGTGTGTGTGTGTGTGTGTGACTGTATATCACACTGAGCTGTCTGAGCCCACAGATACACAACTCACTGAAGAGGAATTAAAACATGTTTCTTACTGTCTCTCGTTTCTAAGAATAACAAAAGAAACACAATCACAATTTCTTTGTTTTTCGGTGTTCAAAGATACAATTAATCATCATGTGTGCTTTTTCTTGGATCATTTTTATAATTTGTGAAATAAAACAGCTAAGAATACTTTCAACAGAAACTGATGAGTCTGTTTTAAAAGTGTCTTTGTGGTGGATGTTTGAAAGAGGACACAGCAGCTGCTCTCTGGTGGTTGCTCCATAAATTAAAGAGTCGTGATGGTGAAAGGAATCCCATTTGGTTTGTGATCAACAGAGAAAAGAACTTTAATACACTAATACTAATAGCTGGAAGGAGTGTGTTTGTGTGTGTTTGTTGTTTGAGCTGTTTTATTGTTTTATTGCTCTGTTGAGGGTCTGTTCACTGATAATTCCTCACATCACTAAAACAAAGTTCTCCTCACTGAAACTGAGTATGTGGGTAACAAACTGTTTCATAGGTTTTATTTACTGAGCAGGATTAAAGCACCAAAGCTTCAAATCAACTTTTCAAGCTTTATAGTTCCCTTAATATTCCCACAGTATCCTTTAAAGCTGGATGTTATTTAGTTCTGAACCATTAAACTTTGGTTCAAACTGACAGGTGAGGAGGTTTAATGAGACTCTGAGTCAACTACATGTTAATCTTCTAAAATCAGTTTTTTAGATTTTCATTTGTAACAGCATGTACCAGTGTCACTCTAATTAATATTAGTCAGTAATAATGTATTTAATGTCAGTTACAGTGATTTATCTTTGGTTTTTAAGTACTTTAACTCACCTAACTGGAGAAGAATCAAGTTTAAGTGAAGGCTGATTAACATGAATCTGAGTTTAGATCAATCTCTGCTGCTGCAACAGTGCCTTGATTTCATAATAAACCAGGAAATAAAAATTTGATGCCAGGTAGACAACAAACCAACTCATTTAGATTTCAGGGCATATTAATTACACATGCAGCATCAACATTGAAAATGTTAATTTAATTTACTTAATATATTAATTTCATATTGAGAGAAAACAAGCAGTGCTATCAGACAGTAAAACAACTAGCAGCTTTAGTTTAAGCTTTGATGAAACAGTTGATGTAGCATGTGAATCTCCACCCGCATTGAACATGTTACATGTTGTAAATCACACTTGCACAACCCAGAGAGGGATCATGTGTCCAAGCTCTCAGGTTACATCCGATAATCAAACTAATCCCACGTTATGACCTGGTATGATTTCAGGGCCTGGACTCACGCAGAGCTCTTTTCAACATATTTCAGCGTGAAAGCGGCAATTATTTCGATACGAGCAGAGACATTTAGCCCGTCCAGTGTGTTTTTTCAAACTGAAGTTGTCAAATAGCTCCTGTTGCCACCTGCCCTGCGCCTCAACCTCCTGTGGCTGTTAAAAATAACCCCGTAGAAACGCTTGCAGGGCAGAAAAGCCTCCCCGCCTGCGTTATCTCAAAACCAGATCGAATGCTCAGCTGGAATCCTGAAGCTCCACCAGCAGGCCCTTATATGAAGACAGACTGAAGCTCGAGCAGCACGGTGCAAAGAAAACTGAACATTGTGTACAAACAGAAAGGGAAACACCGGCCCTGGCTCTGGACCAGAACCAGCACAAGGCCTGGACTCATGGAGTATCTGTGAAGACTAACTGAATGTCAACAGCTCTGGTGTGTCGGGACAGGAAGTGAATCACAGAGTCTGTTTGTGGTTGTTTGTGGGGTGTGTTGAGACTTACTCTGTCGCTTGGTTCCAGCTTTGTACCCCCCAGGAACCACTCGACAGCGATGCCTTCGTATGACAGTTCGCACTCGAAGGTAGCGGTCTCCCCAGCAGTCACGGTGACATCCTTCAGAGGCCTCTTTAGGCCGATCACCCGGGCTTTGGATTGGGGAGAAGACATAGTTAGTCCCCCCCCCGAAACAGGTCAATAGATCCAAAAATCCCCAGAGAGAAACGGCTAATCCTTAGATGCTAATCCTCATGGTGTGGTTGAGCTGAAGGCAGGCCGCTGGAAGCCCTCAGGACAACTGAAGCCAGCCACCCTGGGACTTGGCATTGGGGGGCCAAGCTCATTAGCATACGACCTGCCATCAGATGTATATGGCTGGCAGAAACCAGTGAGAGACAGGGTCGTGTCCTCCCCCCTGCCAATCACTGCAATCCTGCTCTAGATAAGGCATGTGGCTTCTAAAATAACCGAGGGGCCTGATTGGCTAAGAGCCCACCTCTGCCAAACCCATCGGTGGAAGCCAATCTGCTCCTGTCAATCACCGGCCTGCAATTTCCCTGAAAATTGCACAAGTTACCCAACGTCACATTGCAGAAAATGCCGACATCGTGGCTCAGTCATAACGCTGCCATGTAACCGGTGTTAGTGGGAGTTTCGGAAACACGGGCCGGACTGAGATCCAGGATGTCACTTTAGATTAACAAGCTGCATCAACTATTTACAACAGGCTTCCTCACATGCCGGAATTAAAGCCCCTTAACAGCCAGTTAAAGGCCGGCTGGCAGCGTCAGTGACAGCCAGCTGAGAGCTGGACTGTTCATTTATTTAGCGAGCTGTCAGTGTGAAGAGTTTACAATCATCATCTGCTCTGCCAGAATCATCTCTGACTGACAGGAGCTCTCATGTCTAGATTTTTAACACAATACAAACCGACGGAAAGGACAGGATTTCTAAATATACATTAAAAGTTACATACACTTCAAAAAAAGCTCTATCTGAACAAGTGATTTCACCTTTTGAGAATTTTTCAAGTTCTGAGGAGGCATTTTTAAACTTCCTAATGCAGAACAGGACTAAATTACAGTCAATACTTTACAGTCTCAGCTTTCTACCCATTATAATTAAAGGTACAGTTTGAAACATTTAGGAGGATCTATTGTCAGAAGTGGAATATAATATTCATAGACATAATAACATTAGTGTTTAATCACCTGAAAAAAAGAATTGCTGTGACGTTTTCGTTACATTAGAATAAGATGTTTATTCTACAGACGATGTGGAGTCCATGTTGAACCACCACGTTTCTATAATAGCCGAGAACAGACTAACTAAACACTGGCTGTAGTTCGGGTTTTTTGTGCGTTTCGCAGCCACCGTCGTTTCTCTTACACTATTCGAAGGGAAGAAATCTCACACTAATCATGTCTACATGATCTGTAAATTCTGCACACTGGATCTTTAAATGTGAATTTTAAAAACTGAAAAAATAGCAGTTGGTTGTAAAAGATGATCCTTTTAAACAAACTGAGCTTACTTTTTATTTATTCTAAAGCAAGAAACCTGTAAAACTATGTCATTACTACAACTATGTATAACTTAAACTCTTATTTTCTGTCAGTAGCTTCATTATTTAGAGCTTTTTCACAGCAGCCATTTGGACATGAAATAGTTGGGTAAAGACAGGTTTACCAATGATACTAATTCAGGTTTTGTTCCATTCAGGTGAAACACAGTCAGGGGGCTGTCTAAGTCCCGCCCCCTTTTGGAAACGTGGTCAACGTCCTCCTTTGCTGTACTTAGATATGCTATGTGCTAGACAAATCTATGTTGAAAAGACATTTAGATTTAGACATATATATAGTCACATCTTAAGTTAGCTAATGTTAGCGGAACACTACGTGTTTTAAGTAGGAAGGGTCAATTCTGCATGTTGGCTCTCTGGAAAGGCTCCTTAATTAGTATCATCAGTAACACCTGTGTTTACATACTGTTTCGTGTCAAAATGGTCGCTGTGAAAAATATCCATTGGCTGAATTTTGTTGCAGCTGAATTAAGTATGAATATAAATGACTTGTTAAGATGGAGGTTTTGTTGCAGTGTGGAATATATTTAATTCCTGTTTTGCGTCTCACTGGTTCAAATCTTGTGCTCAAATGTATCGAACAAAACTTTAAACTTGCTTTGACGGGTTCAAACGCAGAAAAATTATTTTACAAAGCGTAAAGAACCGACAAAATCTTTTGCAGGTAACGTTGGGTAACAGTTTAAACAGTGTGTTTTCACATCAGCTTTGTGGTTTTCTTGCATTGGTTGGTTGAGAAAAATTTCTTGTTACTCTGGTTGGTCTTTGTTTGATAAGATAAAGCCAGCGTTCAACAGGCTGTGCTTTATCTTTAGTCTGATAACTCCCTGTTACTTTCACTGCTATCTCTACACCCCCGGTCTGTTTTGGTTGGAGCAACTCTCTGAAATGTGAAATTCAATTGTGAATGTATATAAATGCTGATATTTATTCACAATCAACCAATCATTTGTTGATTTAGTCTTTACAGACAAACAACAAAACTACTTTTTATTGTTAGTGTCTGTGAAGTCTATTTTTTTTTTTTTCAGTTGCATTTAGGTGGCTATAGGGTGATTTTTGTTGTCCAACCCCGAAGTTAAGCGTCACCCAATGTTTTAGTAAAGATTCAACTTTTTTAGAAAAGCACAGAGAAATCAAGTGACATCAACCACTTTTTTTTCTCAGCCAACCAATCAGGATGAAGGAGTTGCTGGAGTTCATGTTTCTCACAACATGTAAATTCCTTCATGAAACTATTACTAAAATCTGGTTAATTAACAAGCAGTGTGCATGTAAATGTACAGAGCAGGATCAGAGTCATCAGCTCATATCCAAGAACCGAAAGTGTCGTCTGTAAAGAGGAGGGATTTCAAGTATTCTTAGCTAACCACCAACAAATGTTTTCCCAACCTGTCTCTGATTTATGTTAGTGTTATTTCTGTCACCTTTGACCCTGAGCTGAGCTGTGGATTTGGCATTCGCTGCCGAGAAGTCGATGCTTCCGGCCATGTCCTTTTTGCAGTTGAAGAGGATCAAAATGTGTCGGGGTCCTTCCTCCTTGATCTCCACATCCTGAGAACAAAAATCACACAGCTCGAACAAGATCTGCTCATCAGAAGAAAGAGTTGACACAAGCTCCCAAAGTCCCAGAAAATAATAAATAAGGTTGTATTGATTTAATAAAAAATCTGCCTTCGGAACAAGTGGAATTATTTTGACCCCACTGACATTTGATATGGATTTAAGTGGCAATCTCTAAGATTTTCTTTTAAAGAAACATCTGTTAAAATGCTGAATTAAGTTACTGCTAATGCAAACCAAACATTTCCTACTGCTGCAGCTTCATAATAAAAACATTTAACTGGCAATGAGTTGATTTTATTATGAAGTGACAATAAATCCAAAGTGTTTGTCAGTGACCTTAACACTGGCAGATATAGTTCAAGACAAATGGGTGAACTTTAAACAACACAACATGAACATTAGCTTAGCATTAAATCTCATCATGTTGTAATGTAGTATTTTTTTAGTTTTTGTAGCGGAAGAAGAGCGAAGAACAAATCTCTTATCATGTGAAGGCAGTTTTAGATGAAGAGTTGCAGGTGACAGAACACACCTCCAACGCCTCCTGCTTTCACTGTGTTCTGCTGTTAAAATAATAATAATAATAATAATAATAAAATAAGATCACAGTCGCTCACAGCATGTTGTAAAAAGGCCAATTATTACCTGACTTCTTTATTATAACGACATCAATGTTGGGCTAGTTACTTAAAACATGATTCCAAAAATAAATCTGGGAATGTGATTTGACTTAATTTCAAATCAGTAGGAGGTGACAACACAAGTTATGTTGTAACTGTTTTACTGTTTCCAACAGAAACTACAGGTCTCTCTACACAACCAGGACTGAAATCTTAAGGACTGCCACTTCAAATAAAAAGGAGATCTTAATGGTGTTATTAATCTTACGGGAGATGCGTGGAGTGTCTCTCCCTTCAGTTTCCAGATGGCATGAAGGTCATCCTCTGAAATCTCTGTCTCAAACTTGGCTGTCTCGGTCTCTGTGACCTCCACGCTGTACAGCGGGCGAAGAACCTTGATGTCGCGCTCTGCAGAGGTTTAAAAAGACGTTAGAGAAAACCAAGCAGGAGGTGAAGCTCACTGAAATCTCTCTGACAACCCGGAGAACAACACGTGAAAACAGTTTCATTGTTGTCGCATACAGTGAAAACGATGTCTGATGATCAGTGGAGGACATACAGTGGACATGAAGACGTGTGACAGTATGGGCGTGAAGCTGACGCTCTTTTGTTCAGAGCGACTTACAGTTTTTGCAAAAGCAGAAGACACTGAGTAACTCTCAACAATAACCCAACCCTATAAAACATCTCTACACTATCAACAGACATAGCTTTAAGTATTATAACTGAATTATCAATTCTCATTAAGGACATTTATGAACTGTTTTAATCAGATTGAGCTTGGATCCAAATGTATTTCTAAAAAGTCGCAGTAATGAACATAAACAGTTTACAAATGTTTTATAGATGATATCATATTATTAGATTATAATCACAAATCAACAGTTATTGAAATATTAAAGATGTGAAACAGTCCTTAGTGTTATAACATATTATTGATTGGAAACTTTAATAAAGTTCATGAGAGTTATTTTGTAATTTTGCAAATTTCAAATTTTGTTAAAATTGTTCAAGTGTCTTTTTAGGAAGTAATTTACTTATTATTTCATCAGAACAGTGTTCCTGTCAGAAATAAATCCAGATTTTATTTTTTTTGCAGCTATTACTATTATTGCTATTAATCATTCATGTATTAGCAATAAATAAAAATAGAAATAATCAACTTCATAAATGTGTTCTTAATATGATCAACAACTATAAATAAATAGTTTACATCCTATTTAGGTCCCAATCTGAACATTTTAGTGCAAATTATTTTAATTATTTATTATTTTTCACCCTCTACTGGTTGAAACCTGCTACTGGACTTGAATTTTGCTATTGGCTGATCTGGAGGCAGGTGACATTAGTAGTGGCAGCTTTTGTCACCAACTAACCCCTGCTTATATAAGACCAACGTCTCCACTCTGCAGACTGTGGAATGCTACACAGCCGTTAGCCTGACACTCTACCATAGACACTGGAGAGTTAGCCTCTCTAAACCGCTAGCTTTACAACACAGGTAGCACACAAAAACTTTTACAAACAGCATGAATATGCTTCTAGTCACTGTAAAAGCTCCAGTGGAGTCTGACACAGCTATTTATGGCTGGTTAGCTCCTTTAGCTCTGTTAGCTCTGACTACCGGCTGCTATATTCTTGCTATTGTGAACAGTGGTCAGTCTGTCACTCTGGTCGGCGTTACCTCCCAGATCACACATTACGTAGCCTCATGGCCACACCCCCTATCTGAATCTCTCTGCTGCATTTTAAAAGAGAGCTAGCATGATTACGGGATTGGTTAAACTTTTACATGCTTCTATATACAGTTATAACGATCACTTAAGATGTATAGGGCTGGATTATCCTCAAGTGTCCCAAACACTACAAACATTCAGAATGAGAGTACAGGACACAGTAATGAAGGACGGAGGGAGGCGAGGTTTCGGTGATTGGACGGTGGGCAGGGCCTGATTCTGCAGTCCTGATCGGGGTCTGGGGGAGGAGCCAGCTCGCCGCAGGTATTACCTTCGATGTTCAGGTCAGCTGTGGTTTTGTCGGTGCCACAGTCGCAGGTATACGCTCCAATGTTGCTCTTTGCCGCCTTCTTGATGACCAGCATGCGCTTCTTGCCGTCTGATTGGATGAGAATGTTCTTGGAGGGAAAGATTTCGTTACCGTCTTTGAACCATTTGACTTCGTCTTTGGCTTTGCTCAGCTCGCAGGCCAAAATGATCTCGTCCTTCTCGACGGCGGTGTAGTTCTGGAGTTTCACTGTGAAGTACAGGTCGCCCTCTGCAAGAAGGCATACAACAAAACCAGTAATGACCAGATAAAAACAATGATTTAAAAGTATGGAAATGGAGGTCATGACCTCATCCTTTCTATAATCGTGATCTGACACCATTGTGTGGAAATACAGCTGCATCCTTCTAGAAAATTATACTAACCGAGCACTGTGAGCATGGCCTCTGAGGTCTTGCCCATGGCCTCGACTTTGATCATGGAGGTGTCATCGATGGTGACCTCCTTGAAGGCCAGTGTGTGGACTTTTCCGACCTCTGACATGTGCACCACCTTGCTGGGGTGCAGACGGATGTCGTTTTTGTACCAGACTACCGGGATCTTTTCATGAGAGAGTTCAATGCTGAACTCTGCTGTTTCACGTTCCTTCACGGTCACATCTTTAATCGGCTTAATAAATTCGAGGCGAATACCTGACAACAGAAATTGTAGATGTAGGGAATTAAATATAAAGTTGTAACACTATGGGTAAGACATCAGAACATACAGATTATAATGGTGTTGATGTGTCCAAAGGCACGGAAGGCGAGGTTTCGCTCATACTTTGGTATGCCCTCATATACACATCATACCATTCCTAATCTGAAATGGTCTGACTCCATTTACCTTTGATAATTAATTTTCCAGATGTCCTCTTATCTTCAGCCTCAAACATGTATTTGGCTTCATCTTCATATCTGGCAGGTTTTACAATAAGAGTGTGTCTCTTTCCCTCCACCAGGAGTTCAAACTTATCATCATTTGACAACTCCTGAGATCCCTTCAGCCAACGGAAGCTTTTGGGCTCTCTAGAAATTTCCAGCTCAAACCTTGCCTCATCCTTTTCGTACACGTGCACATCAGCCAGTGGTGTAATGAATGAGACTGGGAGCTCTGTTGATTCAGACAGACAGAGTTACATCAATGTGCAGATGTAGTGCTCTCAAACAAAAACTTCTGATCCGTTGTGTTTTGTAAAGTAAATAAAGGTCGGAGGCCAATAAGAAGATATTATAAGACAAAATGATGTTCTTGGTATACACAATGTAATAGCATTTACACCTTTCATAGAATGTAAATCTCTATTACATTTTATTAAACCTTGGTTATGGTCTGGATATTTCTGCTATTGTACCCAAAAAGTTAGGAAAAAAGGTAACAAAATGGAAGAACAAAGACATTTTAAAGTAAAAAGTGAAGTTGAAAGAATAGCTGTGTGCTCAAGCTTTTCATTTTCAAAGAAGAAAACCATGAGCACAGTGTTGTGCTTGGAAAAGACTTTGCAAAAGAAGCTCACCCTTCACTTTCAGGTTAGCAGAACACTTGGCGTTGGCGGCAGTAAACGCCAACTCGCCTGTTTGAGGCACTTTGCAGTTGTACAAGACCAGTGTGTGTTTGGCACCATCCTCCACGATCTCAACATCCTGCAGATGGCCCGACAAACTTCAGCATTTCAGTAAAAACACAAGTACTCGAGAAAAAGTGATCAGAGCAATACCGTGGTCAATTCACTTTCATTTGTTAGCTAACGAGAGATCAAACACTCTCTTACTCCATATCTTAAAACCGTTGGTTAGATATCTGAAACTTTTCAATACTTCAAATCCAAGTCAGCCTGAGTCAAAATGAAAGTGAATCGAATGGCAGGTAAGAGAATGTCTGCTGAGATGTATTTTAATGAGACATACAGCAGATGGACTGAGGACTTCGCCATTCAGTTTCCACTGGCCGTGGACATCGTCCTCACTGAGCTCGACCTCAAATCGAGCGGTCTCTCCGTCAAAGACCTCAGCGCCATACATCGGCCGAACCACCTTGATGTGGCGAGCTGACATTTAAGAGAGGGGACAAAATTCTTACTGAAGACGTTCAGACATTTAAATATTCAAACAAACTTAACATACATACACATACACAGTACATATATACAGACTTACATACATACAAATACTTCGACAATAGACAGGCACAGGTAGAGTTTCTACTCTGGCAATATAGAAACCTCCTTTATTGTGCTATAAACAATCTTTTCATAGGACCATAAACAACCAAATGGCTATCAATGTTGGCTCTAACAGTAAAAATACTGTGAGGATCCAGTTTTGCAAGGATTGTTTGTGGGCTACCAGAGCAGTTTTTGCGGCAGAAGGTACACAGCTACAACACAAAGTCAATTAATCGAGACACGTCATTGCCAAACAGGAATTTATGAGAAGCCATTTGGTTCTATACGGACCTTTCAGATTATCGAGGCACAAAAGGCACTGAAGAACAATAAAGAGGTTTGTTTCTTCAAAGACTGATGGTTCTGGGACCATGATCACTCTGAAGAAGTGTCTTCAAAAACACAGAACAACAGCCAATAAAACAGAACAAAATACACAAGTTAGGGTGGAAGAACACTACAAGAGAACTAATTCCCTATCAAAGTAGAGGGGTTGAATACATCATAGCTTCAATGTGAGCCTTTCTCTTAAAACTCCTGTAGTGTGTTTCTACCATTTTCGCAAGGGTGGGGTGATGAGAGGGACCACATACAGGTGTTGGCAGTGGTAATTAAGAAGTGAGGAAAGCAAAAGGGGCTTCAAGTGCAGAAATTGCAAGAAAATGGGTGATAAGGCTTGAGGTGTGGTTAGGAGGCAGTAAAGGTGAAGGGTAAGAATAGGCATCAAGAAGGGGGAAGTTGCCTCAATAGAGAATCAAAAATCAAAGGCAAATTCTATGTCTTTACCTTCAATGTGAAGCATTGCCGTTGTCTTGTCTGTTCCACAATCACATAGGTACTGTCCTTTGTCTTTGTCGGCAACTTTCTTGATGATGAGGGTTCTGCGTTTGCCCTCGGCCTTAATGGCCACCATCTTAGAGGGCTTGATCTCTGCCTCATTGTGGTACCACATGACATCCACATCTTTGCTGAGCTCGCAATCTAGAACCACCTCGTCTTTCTCCACTGCAGTATAGTCCTGCAGCTTAACTGTGAAGTACGCATCTCCCTCTGAAATGGGGAAATGTTTGGATGACTATCCGTGGCACATATATGACACTACAATATATATGGTACAAGGCAAACAAAGGACAAGACAGTCAAAAAGACAAGGGAGCACAAATGCACGACAACAACACAGCACAGAAAGACAATGTTTTACAAATACATAACAAGGTCGTTTTGTGGACCTACAGACACAGACATGGACAAATTGTACAAATAGCTGTAGAGAATAAGAAGAACAGACACTGGAAGAGGAGGACAGAAAGAGAACAAGCGGTAATTCTTGGTTTACCTATGACCGTCAGGTTAGCCATGGAAGGAATTCCTTTGGCCTCAGCCTTAATTTGGCATGTATCATCTAGAGTCACTTCCTTTATTTCTAGCACATGTTTCTTTCCATCCACATGAGTGACCACTGTCCTGCTGGGATGAATTTTAACGTCGTTCTTGTACCAGGTGACGGGGATGTTCTCATGAGAGAGCTCCAGCTCGAACCGAGCTGTTTTGCCTTCCTTCACAGTTTGGTCCTTTATTGGCGAGATAAATTTGAGCCTGATACCTATAATAGCATTAGTAAAGCATAATCATATAATTTAGTTTGAAAGAGGAGGCAACCAACTCAATGAATAGAATAATAACGGTTCTGCTAGTTATGTCCAGTAATGGCAGTCCAGCACTTACCCTCCACTGTGAGTCTAGCTGTTGAGAGTTTTCCCAAAACCGCAATCGTATATTCATCCTCGTCATCAAACTCACAACAGTTTATAATCAGCATATGCTTCTTTCCATCATCGATGATGTCATACTTTTGGTCTGGGGTGACAATGTCATCCCCTTTATACCACATGACCTTAGAGACATCCTTCGTGATGGTGCATTCAAACTTAGCCTGTTTCTTTTCAGGCACAGAAACATCCTTCAGCGGGACAACAAAGTCCATTTCGATTTCTGGGTTAAAAAGTGACACAGGTACAGTACATCAACTACACAACAAAACACAACAACAGTACAACAGTCTACAACAAGTGGCCAGTTTACATTGTACCCCCATGTATGCAGTGCTGGGTTGTGTGCATCCATCTCTAGAAGTTTGTGGGATCATATCACAGAGATATCAGAGGGTATTGACATGAAACGCCATGAAATTGTTTGCTGCCAATTAGATTGTGGCTCTATACACAGCTTATCCCATCTTTTCCAACAGAAAACCAACTAGAGACATCTTCAGATTGTGCAGGTCCCAGGCCAAAATGACATCACTCTGCATTTCCAGGATTGCTTAAAAACTGCTTTGGAACATTGCATTGAAGGACTCCATGTGAAGAATGCTTAAAGGCTGTCATCAAGGGCCGCAGTCTTGCTGGTAACAAGGATTATGTTCTGTCACAGGGAAGGACCGGTCCATCATCTTGTTCAGCTGGAATCAAATTCTGACTACAGTTTTATCAGGATGAAACAAGAATCTTCATTCCAAAGACCATTCTTCTTTCTACTTGCTTTTCATCGAGTCCTCACCAGTTACCTTATGTTTGTGAAAAAAAATCAACCATCTGCTGCCATCAAAAAAAAGTTACTAAACTCCCTTATTTTTTGGTAAAACTAAGGCAATATGATGTTACGTGTAGTGGAGTGACCCATTCATGAACATGGTGTTGGTGTAACTTGTAAACTGGCCGCTGCCTGTAGATTTGACATAAAACATTTAACCACAGACAGTACGAATATACAGTAGAGGGACACCACTACACACATTTTCACGGAAATCTGACAGAACAACAGACAGGTTTCCATTGTCCATTGAACAGACTGTACAAAATATAGAACAACAATACAGGACACCATTTCGACCATGGGAAATAGTTGGGATCCCATATCAAAATTCCTTCTCGTCCTTCCGGGCTCAAAGAAATGCTGCAAATGAATTTGACTCTTCAACCCTATTAAATAAAGATCTAAGGTCCGCTCTCACGTGCCATAAAGCTTTATTGCCCACGGACCTTACGCCTTTATTTTTACAGCTAATACCGTAAAACAATGGCACATTGTAATTCCGATCCTGGATACTAGGAGTACTTCCTTACCTTTGACATTGAGCATTGCAGTGGTTATGGCGTTCAGAGCCTGGTAGGACACTTCTCCGGCCTGATCCAGTTGGCAATTTTTCAGTGTGAGCTTACGCACCCCACCTTCCATTTGGATGTCGCACGTCTGATGGATACATTACAATACATTTATATATACAAAATAGTGAAACTGAACATGCAGATGTTGAACTACATGCCTTAAGACTTTCCACGTGTTATTCAGTCTTACCGGGGATCTGGTCAAAACCTCTCCTCTGAGCTTCCATTCTCCTGGAACATCATCCTCAGAGATCTCTGTCTCAAACTTAGCATCTTCCTTCTCAACCACCTCAACGCTGGCCAGGGGCTTCAGGATCTCAGCTTCCCGCTCTGATAAAGGAGTCATATTAGTACTCATAAATATCAACCAATAAGTAAAGTATTTAAGGGGCTCAAGTTTAAAATATAGGTAAGTAGGTAGATAGATAAACCTCCTAGTGTTAGCTTGGCAGTATACGTGCGTCCTTCCACCTCCAAGGAATATTCTGCTACATCATCAGGCTGACAGTTCTTGATGGTGAGAGTCAGCTCCTTTCCATCCTTTTTGATCTCAATCTTGTCGGAGGGAGTGACCTCATTCTCTCCTTTAATCCACTTCCAATTGGGAGTGTCCTTAAAGAGCTCACATTTAAATGTAGCGGTAGCCTTCGGTTTCACGTGCTGGTCTTTCAGTGGTTTCACAATCCAATCTTTGATGATTTCTGTTGGAGTTAAACATTACTGAATCAGTGTCCCTCATACCCTTAAAGCCACAATGTGCACCATTAAGATATTACATATTGGTAATAGGCATAGGGCAGAGGAGCTAAAACTATAGGCTTAGTTCATCTAATTTCAGTTGTTTTTCAATTATTTTAAAGCGATTAGAGAAAGAATTTCAAGGTTCTTTCTAATCTGTATTTGCCAAAGCCATAGATATGCAGATTTAAGAATTTAGCTGAAGGACATTAACCCTTTAAGCGCCAAAGT